TTTTTTGACCCAACTGTAAAAATGGACATCAGAATTGGATTCGGGGTTAAATTTCATGCTTAAAAATGGTGCTTTATGCAGTTTTTAAAAATTGAGCCGTTTTGGTGTCTGGGGAAGGAAATTCCTGATGCCGGGGTCAGGGATTTTTGTGCTCCGGAGGTGGAAAATTTTTTTTGACCCAAATGTAAAAACGGACATCAAAATTGGATTTGGGGTTAAATTTCATGCTTAAAAATGGTGCTTTATGCAGTTTTTAAAAATTGAGCCGTTTTGGTGTCTGGGGAAGGAAATTCCTGATGCCGGGGTCAGGGATTTTTGTGTTCCGGAGGTGAAATTTTTTTTTTTGACCCAAATGTAAAAATGGACATCAGAAGTGGATTCAGGGTTAAATTTCATGCTTAAAATGGTGCTTTATGTAGTTTTTAAAAATGGAGCCGTTTTGCTGTCTGGGGAAGGAAATTCCTGATGCCGGGAACAGGGACTTTTGTGCTCCGGAGGTGAAACATTTTTTTTGACCCAAATGTAAAAACGGACATCAAAATTGGATTCGGGGTTAAATTTCATGCTTAAAAATGGTGCTTTATGTAGTTTTTAAAAATTGAGCCGTTTTGCTGTCTGGGGAAGGAAAGCCTGATGCCAGGATCAGAGATTTTGTGCTCCGGAGGTGAAAATTTTTTTGACCCAAATGTAAAAACGGACATCAAAATTGGATTCGGGGTTAAATTTCATGCTTAAAAATGGTGCTTTATGCAGTTTTTAAAAATTGAGCCATTTTGGTGTCTGGGGAAGGAAATTCCTGATGCCGGGGTCAGGGATTTTTGTGCTCCAGAGATGAACATTTTTTTTTGACCCAAATGTAAAAACGGACATCAAAATTGGATTCGGGGTTAAATTTCATGCTTAAAAATGGTGCTTTATGTAGTTTTTAAAAATTGAGCCGTTTTGCTGTCTGGGGAAGGAAATTCCTGATGCCGGGGTCAGGGATATTTGTGCTCCAGAGGTGAAAATTTTTTTTTGACCCAAACGTAAAAACGGACATAAGAATTGGATTCGGGGTTAAATTTCATGCTTAAAAATGGTGCTTTATGTAGTTTTTAAAAATTGAGCCGTTTTGCTGTCTGGGGAAGGAAATTCCTGATGCCGGGGTCAGGGATTTTTGTGTTCCGGAGGTGAAATTTTTTTTTTTTGACCCAAATGTAAAAATGGACATGAGAAGTGGATTCAGGGTTAAATTTCATGCTTAAAATGGTGCTTTATGTAGTTTTTAAAAATGAAGCCGTTTTGCTGTCTGGGGAAGGAAATTCCTGATGCCGGGAACAGGGATTTTTGTGCTCCGGAGGTGAAATTTTTTTTTTGACCCAAATGTAAAAACGGACATCAAAATTGGATTCGGGGTTAAATTTCATGCTTAAAAATGGTGCTTTATGCAGTTTTTAAAAATTGAGCCATTTTGGTGTCTGGGGAAGGAAATTCCTGATGCCGGGGTCAGGGATTTTTGTGCTCCGGAGATGAACATTTTTTTTTGACCCAAATGTAAAAACGGACATCAAAATTGGATTCGGGGTTAAATTTCATGCTTAAAAATGGTGCTTTATGTAGTTTTTAAAAATGGAGCCGTTTTGGTTTCTGGGGAAGGAAATTCCTGATACCGGGGTCAGGGATTTTTGTGCTCCGGAGGTGAAACATTTTTTTTGACCCAAATGTAAAAATGGACATCAGAATTGGATTTGGGGTTAAATTTCATGCTTAAAAATGGTGCTTTATGTAGTTTTTAAAAATGGAGCCGTTTTGCTGTCTGGGGAAGGAAATTCCTAATGCCGGGGTCAGGGATTTTTGTGCTCCAGAGGTGAAAATTTTTTTTTGACCCAAATGTAAAAACGGACATAAGAATTGGATTCGGGGTTACATTTCATGCTTAAAAATGGTGCTTTATGTTGTTTTTAAAAATTGAGCCGTTTTGGTGTCCTGGGAAGGAACGGGGTCAGGGATTTTTGTGCTCCGGAGGTGAAAATTTTTTTGGACCCAAATGTAAAAACGGACATCAGAATTGGATTCGGGGTTAAATTTCATGCTTAAAAATGGTGCTTTATGTAGTTTTTAAAAATTGAGCCGTTTTGGTGTCTGGAGAAGGAAATTCCTGATTCCAGTTAACTGATCTTAAATCTGCAGAAAGCCAACAAAGTTACAGCAGACATTTCATTTCCAAACTGTCCCCGATAGTTTATTTTTCCATGTTAGTTAGCTATTTCTGGGAGAGAAAAAACAGAGCTCAAAAAGTAATGTACTTAAGCATCCGAGTAATTACACTTGTGAAAGTGTAAAAGACATACATGCTTGGGAATTACATATTACACTCACCTGTAACTGTATTTGCTTGATTTGGGCTTAGCTCCTCTTGTGAATCCAACCAATTCTGAAACACATCATGAGGTAGTGCAACATGTCCTTCCCATATCTGTCATACCTCAATGAGCATTGTGTTTTCCATATTTCTGGCAGGCCATTAAAATTAGTAGTCATGTATTTAAAAGATATTCAATAGGAATGGGCAGCATAATACTTCACCTGTTCAATTTAAATCAGGCGCATGACTATCGAAAAAAAAATTAGAGCCTACCTTTTTGCAAATCTGACAATGGTTCACCATGCAAACCATGTCCATATACATACTCTTTTCTGAAATTAATTTGACAGTTTTTAAGCATCTTTTTTCTATTTGCGCCTTGTTGACTGAATACAGAATTTATCAGCACAAATATTTCGGAATCAGTGAAATGACTCAGTTAAATTAAATGCTGAATAAAAACACTGGTTGTAACGTAAGTTCAATGAATAAGTTCTTTGCAGCTATTCAGTGAGGATTCACATGACTAGATATGACAAATGTATATTAAATACATTAATTATTTGCAACACTTCAATTAGATGAGTAATTAGTACATTAGTCAGTTAAGTAGATAAATGACAGGATTCATGTTTTCAGGACTTTTTTTTTTTAAATGTTTCTTAACATTAGGATATAGGAAAGTTCCCAGGATTTCACAAACTAAACTTGACAATATACTGGTCTTGCATCCATCCCAACAGAACACCAATGCAAAATATTCTTTAGCAATTCACAAGCTTTAAACTGAGTCTGCATTTTTAGACATCTCTCCTTTAATAACAGATAAAAATTAGAAAAAAAAATATGGCATCTTATGGATAAGATTTCCAATTCATTAGAAATATCTATTACATTCATATCTTAATTATTTGTAAAAATAACAAAGGCAGGATACAAATAAATAAATTAAAATCCTTTTCTTCTAGAACTTCATGCCAATATACATAAAACATGCCAATATACAGTAAACACTCATCATCTCCATTTAATCCAAACCATTCTGTGAAAATCGCCCAATAAGTTTTATTAGGAATCTGAACATGAGTCTAGTTTTAGCCTATTACTGGGGGAAAAAAAAGGTACCCATTTTCCTGGAAGCATATGTAGAAAGAACTGCCATACACTTACAAGAAAGTAAGAACCAATTCAGGGAGGATTCCTGCTAAGAAGACTGCACTATAAAGCTTCAGTTCTGGTTCTATGCATGCTTAGATAAAAGATTCAGAATATTGGACCATTAATCCAATCAGCAAACTGAGCATGGATTGTGTCATCATTGTACAATATAGTAATTAAAGTTCCAAATGCCACTGTTTGAATGCTATAGACAGCAGACTGACTAGTGAGCTACATTCTTCAAGGATCTGTTGAGGGCATGGAGTGCAAAAGCTTTATTTTTATTTTCATTATTTATTTTTCAAATTTCAATATCACCCATCACACTTGTGTGCTTCTTTCCCAACCCATGGCCCTCCAGAATTCCCAGCCACCTAAGTCAACGGCTGTGAATGTTATGAGGTATAGTCCAACTAATCTGGAAGGCTATGGAAGACTAGAACTGATTTATTTGGAAATAGTTTATATTTTCATTAGCCTCTATTTCAGCCTCATTCAAACTCACACATCCTCCTCCCTTTTACACCGGGAATTCAACAATATACTTGGGAATCCGTATTTCTACTTGGCTGAGACTAGCCGGATGCATAAGAACGGGAGCTTTGAGCAGTTAGCGATGAACTCCGAGAGAAAGGAACACTTCTTGACACGTGATAACTTCATCTTATGAGAAGGTACCGGTAAAGGGAGGCAACGGATCCAGCTGCTAGGTCAAGTCTTACAGACGCTACTTCCCTGGCAGAAACGATCCCGCGAAGTCCTGCAAAGCCACGGGGCGAGCGTAAAGCCCGAGACCTGGGTCGTAACCACTTCGGGGAGCCCTTATGACGCAGGTCGTCGTGCGGATGACCGTCAAACAAGGCGGAGGGCCAAGGGCACTGGCTGGGCCATGCGCAAGGGTGCCTTTTACCACCAGGCGCTGAAAGAGCGTGACTGTCCAGCTAGGATACCAGCTTGCCTACCCGCCCCCTTCTCTCGCTTCCCCCTGCTGCCCGGGATCGGCAGCAGCTACCCCTGTGACCCCGAGGCCAAGCCGTCGAGCGTCATGGCGACGCCGTTCGGGGCCATCCGGGTGGGAACCTATTTGGACATCAAGAGGAGCGACGGGCGGATCCACCCGGCGCTGGTGACGGCGCTGCACTACGACGCCAACAGCGTGACCGTGGAATGGATCGAAAGGGGCACCAACAAGGGCAAAAAAGTGGAGCTGGGCCAGGCCTTCAGCCTCAACCCTCACTTGGCCCCGGCCGAGTTCAGACCGGGAACGCTCACGACGCAAACCCCGTCGGAGCAGGGCGACCACCCCACACCGCCTCCCAACTACGTGGTGACCCCCAGAAACAGAGAGAAGCCCGGCGGGGATGGTGTGGAATGCGAGCTCCGAAGAGCCTCTTCGACGGCCGCCCGCAAATCGCCCTGCGTGCTGGAGGTGGAGCGGCTGCGCACCGAGCGCGAGAAGCGCCACTTGGCGCTTCTAGAGAGGCGAGCCCGGCGGGAGGCGCACGACGCCCACCCGCACGCGGATCTGATCGCCATGATTCAGCAGTGCCGCGAAGCCCTGTTGCGCGGAGGGGGCGGCGCCTTGCTGGCCCAGAGCTGCCTGCCGCAGAGCGGCCGCAACGACGGGGCCGCTTCCCGCAAGATCTGCGTCTGCGTCCGCAAGCGGCCGCTCAACCAGCGGGAGGCGGAGATCAAGGAGGTGGATGTGGTGACCATCCCGTGCTCGGGTGTGGTGATGGTGCACGAGGCCAGGCAAAAGCTGGACCTTACTCGCTACTTGGAGCACCAGACCTTCCGCTTCGACCACGCTTTTGACGACGGCGCCACCAACGAAAGCGTCTACCAGCACACAGCCCAGCCGCTGGTGGAGACCATCTTCCGCGGCGGCATGGCCACGTGCTTTGCTTACGGGCAGACGGGCAGCGGCAAGACCCACACGATGGGAGGGGACTTGTCTGGTAAGAAGCAGGACTCCACCAAAGGCATCTACGCCATGGCCGCCCGGGACGTCTTCTTTCTGCTGCAGAAGCCCACTTACAAGATGCTGGAGCTCCAGGTCTTTGGCGCCTTTTTTGAAATCTACTGGGGAAAAGTCTACGATTTGCTGAACTGGAAGAACCGGCTCCGGGTCTTGGAGGATAGCAATCAGCAAGTCCAGGTGGTGGGGCTGCTGGAGCAGGAGGTCATCTGTGTTGAGGACGTCTTGAAGCTCATTGAGATTGGGAACCGATGCAGGACTTCCGGCCAGACCTCAGCCAACTCCCATTCCTCCAGGAGTCATGCGGTTTTCCAAATTATCCTCAAACGCAAAGGGAGATTGTATGGCAAATTTTCCTTGATTGACCTAGCTGGCAATGAGCGGGGAGCAGATACCTCCAGGGCCGACAGACTAACCAGGTTGGAGGGAGCTGAGATTAATAAGAGCCTCTTGGCGCTGAAAGAATGCATCCGAGCCTTGGGGCGCAATAAAGGTCACACACCTTTCCGAGCTAGCAAGCTGACCCAAGTGCTAAGAGACTCATTCATTGGAGAAAACTCTTGCACCTGCATGATTGCCACCATCTCCCCAGGCATGAAGTCATGTGAGCACACACTCAATACCCTCAGATATGCCAATCGGGTAAAAGGTCTGGTGGTTGATCCCAGTGCCTTCAAACAGTGCCATCGTATCCTGTCCAAATCTGTCTCTCAGCTGGAGGATTCAATCCAGCCTTGGAGCAATCATAGCTTGCCTGAGACCGATCAGTTCAAAATCATCTGTGTACAGAAAGAAGATCGAGTCCCTTTGCCAGCTCTTAGCATCATCACCAGAGGGAAAGGGCAGAAGAAGAGGAAAGAGATTGAGAAAGCTCAGACAGAAGATCATCAGGAATCACTGAGATGGCTGAAAGCTTTTCTGAAGATGGCTGAAGATGTTGAATATGACATGGAGTTTTACGCCACCCAGTTCGAAACCATGCTGACAGAAAAGATTGCTCTCCTTTCCGAGATTCAAGATAAAGTGAAATCTTTTCGGGCTAACCTCTATAAGGAAGACGTAGAGAACAATGACATCATTGTGAAGAGATCCCGCATTCTGTGAGCTCTGATAGAGTCTCTTTCTACTCTCCTAATGTTGACTAGCGCTGGTCTTTCCGCACTATACATTGCATCTAACCATCTGGCATTGTAATGGCTGTTTTTTTAAAAAAAAAATTAAAATTCTGTATCTCTGGGGATTTCCTGCTTAAGGAAAGAGGAATTGCCTGTTTTCCTCAATTCTGAAATAATGTAGAAAGCCTTCTAAGACCAATATAAGTTATTTATTTTAACTTTATAAAAATAACATTCTTTAAGATTGAGAGCGCAATCCTTGGGCATTGGCAGTTTGAATTGGCTGTATTTATTAGAAAATGAATTAGTGTAAAGAGCACTGTTTGGGGGAATAATACTTTAAAGGAATGAAGGCTACTGTACAGATATAGTAGGAGGCTGAATTTAATGTCATTTGTTGCCATTCTATCTGCCAAACCCAGAGAACTTGTAAAAGAACATTTTAAAAAACCTGTAGATGGGAAATAGTGTATTTTTGGTCTGGTTGTTCAAAAGGGAGGGACTTAAGATAATTCAAAATATAGGAAAGACCCGGTAGCCGAACAGTTGCATAGCCATATAATCTCTGAATTATATAAGAGGAATCAGTTTTATCATTTAAGATTCAGCAAACTCAACACAGGAGGTTGTAGTGCAGTGGACAGAGAACATGTTTTCCGTCAAAAATCCAGTCATCTGGGTACCTGATGTGTAAAACATAAGGAAAGCTATGGAAGATGAGGCCAGAGATCTGCTCCCATGGTGGCCCAAGAGAGGCTTTGGGGAGGTTCTAATTAGAACCTGTCCACAACTGCAGCCTCCTTGAATCTCTTTAATTTCTGGAATCATCTTAATTGAAAGACATCTCCACATATAATCATTTTAGGTGCTTCCTTTTACCAAAGCTGTCCACTCACCAGTTTTGGATAAAATGGATTGTGATTTTGTGAAAGAGTATAAGATAAATAACTCTCTATCCCAGAGCTTGACAGCACTGTTTCCTCCAAATATCTTAGGACTGTGACACCAATATCATTTCCATTTAAGTTTAGCTTAAATCAATAAATTCAAGACAAAATCCATTGTGGTAAAAGTAACATAATGGCCAGATGTTATTGATCTACTCCCTACAGCATATGTCACTATTGGCTATGCTGGCTGGAATTGTGAGATATACTAAGCATCTGGAAGGCCTCAGTGATATTGAAAGACAGGCTGCCTGTTCTTCAGATGGATTTACCAAAGACCCCATCCTGGGTCTTGGAGCATTAAGCAGCATTCAGTTGAAGACATAGGAAACAGCTTCCTTCTTATATTGTAGGTTCCTCTGTGGCTTACCAAGAATTTAGCTCCTGACCTTTATAGACTCAGGCAAATAGGATATTTTCTCAATCTTCTCAATTATCGTATAATTGCATCAGCTGTAGTGAGTATGCTAGAAACTGCCTAGAGTTGTAGGTGACTGATCGATTTAATAATTATTAAATGTGTTGATTTTAAAATTACAACAATATTTATAATAAATTTATATTTATTTTAAATTATTTATATTAAATTGTCTTGTTATTACTATTATTAAATACTTCCAGAGAAGATTGGTAGATTATGAGGAAATTAAAATGCTTAAAATGTATTTATGCCTTCTTAATGCAGATCATTTGGCTTGATTTTGAAAATACCTGAGATAATGAGTAAAGGGAGAATTGTTCAAATATGCACATGGAATACATTAACATCATGAATCATTCTGTCCCTCTTCTCATTATCATTTGACTTTTGACATCTATGTATATTCTTTTGGATACATCTTTTTAAAGTGATACAGTCAAATATAGTCACTACCCAGATATGAATTATATTGCTTTCCAGCCTCAAAGAATAGCCTTGTTCCCTATTTCCCCAGTAAATTTGACAAACTCTGCATCATTCATACATGCTGATGGTAACTGCCAGATTTTTTTTCTTTTTTTAATTTTTTTTTTAAATTTTTATTAAGTAAACATTGAAAAACAGGTTGAACACTGACTTTTCTGGCTGTTATTTTGCCATACATACTATACCATATACCATATATCTTCCTAGTCATTGATCTTTTATATCATTTACATACTGCATTTTATACTATTTACATATTTATATATTTACATACATATTTAGGTCTATAACATAACTTTCATTTCCATTCTTAATTCATATTCTGATCTCTATCTTACACTCACTTTGAGGTTGGAAATCTACACTTTCTCTCTTCAAGACGAGCTTTCTCTGTTCTGACTTTTTCTCCTTGAGTCTAACCAATAGTACATCTTATCCCAAACTTCGTAATACTCTGTTTCATCCTTGTCTTTAATTTCTAAGGATAATCTATCCATCTCTGCACATATAAAAATTTTTTTAATTAGTTCACTCTCCACCGGGGAATTTCTGTTTTTCCAGTTCTGGGCATACAACCTTGCTGCTGTTATGATATGCAACACTAGATATGTCTCCCCTTTGTTAAACTTCCCATCTATCATTCCCAGTAAAAACAATTCTGGTCTAGAATCTATCTTCAGTCCCAACATTTCCTCCAACCAAGTCTTTATTAGCCGCCAAAGTTCTTTGGCTTTGGAACAAGTCCACCACATCTGATAATAAGTGCCTAATATTTTCTTGCACTTCCAACATTCTGGTGATATATCTTTTCTTATCTTTGCCAATCTTGTTGGAGAGAGATGCCACCTGTAAAACATTTTGTACAGATTCTCTTTATATGAGGTAACCAAGGTTAACTTTCTATTTCTTTCCCATAACATTTGCTATTTGTCTAAATCAATATTATATCCGAAATTTTGGGCCCATGTTATCATCACTGCTTTTACCTGCTCCTCTTCCGTTTTATATTCCAATAAATATTTATATGTTCTTTTGATTGCTTTCTCCTCCGTTCCTAATAATATTTTATCTAGTGTTGTCAGATTTCTCTGTATATCCCATTCTTTTTTGTCTTTCTTATAACGTGACTGAACTTGCAGGTACGCCCACCATTCCAATTGTACCCTGTTTTCTTTTAATTCTTGTCTAGATTTAAGTTCCTCTTGTTCATTTAGAATATCTCTGTACGTAACTACTTTTCCCAAGTTCATAAAATTTGGATACACTAGCGCTTCCAGTGTTGAGAGCCATACCGATGTTTCTATATAACTCTGTTGTTTAACTTCAATCCACACATGAGTAATGCTGCTCTGATACGGTGTCTCTGGAAGTATTGATGAACATTATGTCTCCCACAAAAATGCATGCCATCCAGATTGTAAATCATGACCCTCTAGAATTAATAGCCTTCTATTTTTTAAATTTATCCAATCCCACACCCAGATAAGTATTGCAGCTTGGTAGTACAGCTCCCAGTCAGGTAGTCATAATCCCCCTCTTTCTTTGGTTTCTTGTGGTAGTTTTAATTTGATTCTAGATTTCTTCCCCTGCCAAATAAATTACAATATTATTTTATTCAAATTTACAAAATATTTTTTCTCTAATTTTATGGGGACATTCTGAAATAAAAAGAGTAATTTAGGTAAAATGTTCATCTTTACTGCTGCAATTCTCCCCATAGAGGAGAGTTGCAAATTTTTCCATCTTTCTAAATCTTTCTTTATCTGATTGTTTAAATTAACATAGTTATCTTCTTTGCTTGTAATACACCTTGCTGTTAGCTGTACTCCCAAGTATTTAACTTTCTTCACTATTTGGATATTTACTTTTTCCACCAGGTCAATTTTCTGTGTACTAGTTATATTTTTAACTATCATTTTCGTTTTATCTTTGTTGATTTTCAGTCCCGCTACCTCTCCATATTCTTCTAATATTTCCACCAGTCTTGTACCCAAATGTAGCGGTTCCTCTAAGATAAATACAAGGTCATCCGTGAATGCTTGCAATTTATAGATTTCTTTCTTAATATTTAAGCCTCTAATTTGGCTTTCCTTTCGAATCATTCTAGTCAGTACTTCGATTATGACTCTCGCCTCTTGTTTATTGTGTATAGCTCTGAATATGTTTATAAAATTTCTGCCAAAGTCCATATAGCCTAACTGCCTCAACATGAAGTTCCAATTTACATTATCAAAGGCTTTTTGTGCATCCAAAAACATCAGAGCTACTTGTTTTTCACTGTGAATCTCGTAGTACTCCAAAATATTCAAAATCGTTCTCATATTGTTTCAAATTTGCCTTCGTGGTAGGAAACCATTTTGATCTAGCTGTATAAATTCATTTAGGTATCATTTTAGTCTTCCCGCAATTATTGCCATAAATATTTTGTAATCCTAATTTAAAAGCGATATTGGCCTATAATTATTGATTTTTGTTAAGTCCGAATTTTCTTTTGGGATCAGCACAATGTTTGCTTCTATCCAGGATGCTGGCGTTTTTGCTTCCTTTAAGACTGCATTGAACGTCTCCAGTAGTATTTTGCGAAAAGAATCCTGAAATTCTTTGTATATTTTTACTGGCAGTCCATCTGGAGCTGGTGCTTTGTTGCTCTTCTATTTTTTCAATGTCTCAATTCAGTCATTGTTATCTCCACATTCAACATACACTTTGATTCATCCGGGATTTTTGGTAGATCAGCTTTTTTAAAACATTGAAGTATTTTTTTCATCCGTAGTCCACTTATTCTCATTGTATAGTTTCGTATAGTAATTTTGAATTATTTTTTTCTTCTCTTCACTTTGATGTTGTATATTTCCCTCTTCGTCCTGTAATTTATTACTATAGCTTCTTTCTCTCTACTTCTTTAGCTTATACGGTAGCCATCTCCCTGGCTTGTTCGCATTCTCAAAGAAATTCTGGCCACTCCTTTTAATTTGTTGTGCTAGTTCTTCTTTCTCAAGAATGGACAGCTTATGTTTAATCACTTCCATCTGTTGTTTCAGGCTTTCATTTTGGGGGTTATGTTGTAGTTCTATTTCTAATCTTTGGAATTCCTCTTCTAAGTTTTTCCCCTTTTGTTTGTTTTTATTTTCTCTTGCCATATAAGCTATAGCCACTCCTCTCACATACGCCTTCATTGTATCCCATAAATTTTGTACGTTCGTATCCTCTTTTTTATTTTCCTGGAAGAACAACTTTAGCTGTTCCTCCAGCTTTGTTTTAAATTCTTTATGTTTTATAATCCCTCTTTTTAGTGTCCATCTACCAATTTTTCCCCCCTCTCCACCTGATTCTCACCGGATTGTGGTCCACCCAAAGGTTCATTTCTATTTCCACTTCCCCCATTTCCTGCAATAGTTCTGTTGTTACCCAAACCATATCTATCTTAGACCACGTCTTATATCTACTCGAATAGTATGTGTATTGGCTTCCCCCTTGGTTCCTTTCTCTCCAAATATTTTGCATTCCTAATTCATCCACCATCTTAAAGAAAACTTTTGGCAATATTCTTCTAGGTCCCTTCCTTCCTTGCTTGCTTTTATAGTCTAGCTTCCTATCTATTATTGGGTTAAAATCGCCCATAATACAGATGTTCTCACAATCTATCGCCCATAGTGTATTATATAGTTTCCTATAGAATTGTTCTTGCCCCCCATTTGGGGCATAGATTCCTACTAATATTGTTCATTTTGGGTTGTCGTCTCCACTATCAAAATCCTGCCTTCTGTATCTTTATAAATTTGCTTGACTAAGTTTGACTCTCTGATATATATCACTACTCCTCTTTTTTTGTGCTGTGATAGAGATGCAAACATCTTCCCCAGTTTAGGGCATTCCAACATCTGTCTATGCTGTTCCTTAATGTGAGTCTCTTGAGTAACTATAACATCTAGATTTCTTCTAATCAATTTATTAAAAGTTTTTTTCCCTTTTTTGAGGAGAGTTTAGGCCATTAATATTCAAGGATAGGATTTGGAGTTCTCCCACCATATTTCTACTTATATCTAGTTTTTATACCCTTCGTTATTCTAGTCTCCTTTGGCTTCTCTCTCAGCTCTTGTTGTTCCCTTTCATAGTTTACCGTTTCCTCTCTCTTCTCATTTTCACCTGTTGTCCTTCTTCTGTTTTAGCCAGTCTTGACTCCCTCACTTCTTCAACATTTCAGATTTTTTTTTTCTTATCCCATCCTAAAGATGTTGGAAGTCATAAGATGAAGCCGTCTATAAAAAGAACCACCTTGGCTGAACGTTGGCTCTTCCTTGCCATATCTGCTCCCTTTGGAACTTGAATTGATAGGATTCCATAATTAGCTCAATGGGAACTATTCTACAGTTTCCTTCACTGGTAAGACAATCAGACATGTCTTATTCTTTGTCATTGAATATATTATTTCCACCTCTTATTGTAGCTAGGAGATTGGTTAATTATGGACAGACAGCTTGCCCATTCAGGAGAGATGGGGGAAAGCTACCCTGTGTTCTTTTCTATTATGTTACAATGGGAAATGGCTGTTCTGTTAAATGCTTTCTGTTAAATAGAAATCTC